TGTGTGTGTGTGTGTGTGTGTGTGTGTGTGTGTGTGTATGTGTGTGTGTATGTGTGTGTATGCGTGTTTGTTCTGCCAGACATCTACTCACCTGAGACGATACGTCCTGGCACACAATGCAGTACTTCTGCAGTGGGTGGATGCCATTTAGAGCCGTCACATGCCGACACGAGACGAAACTGTTTAAGGGCAAAGTGTCGTTTTAGGGTTTAGGGTTTAGGGTTTTAGGTAAATGCAACATTCAGCTATACAGTTGTACGAACCGATTAATGTTACTGCAATCAGATCAGTAGCGGCACCGACAGCGCTGTTGATGAGATGATTAACAGAGGTTGACAACAACCTTGCCGGCAAAGCCCAATGTCCATACACCTCAGGTGCGGGTGCAGGTACAGGTGCAGGTGCAGGTGCAAGCGCAGAAGTGCAGTGTAATATATGGCACACAACTCGCATGTAGAGCACACGCGAAGGTGCAAACACAGTGCACGTTGGACGATACACACACAGGCACACATGCACGTATACGCATACACACATACACACCACCAACCACATACACATGCACATACACATACACATGCATACACGTACACATACACTACACCCACACACCACCACCCACATACACACATATGCATACGCATGCACGTACACATACAATTAACACACACACACCACCACCCACATACATATGCACATCCACATTCATATGCATGCACGTACATATACACTGCACACACACACCCCACCACCCACATACACACATATACACACGCATGTACGTACACATACACTACACACACACACCACCACCCACATACACACATATACACATTCACATGCATGCACGTACGTAAATACTCACACACACACACCACCACCCACATATATATGCACATACACATTCACATGCATGCACGTACACATACACTACACACACACTCCCCACCACCAACATACTCACATGCATGCACGTACGTAGATACTCACGACACATACAGGACAGTGGCAGGGCGTGTCTCGCCCACCCGTTCGCTCATGTGCTGCACTGTGTTGTGTAGTACAGCGGGATTGATATACGATACCAACCCCTTCTCCATCTCACTATTCGGGGCGAACGTCCGGGTGGGTAAAACCTGGTTTAGACGGGTGTGAGAGACCAGGTGTGAGGTGTGTCAGGTGTACACCTCTCACGTGACAACGGTTGATTTAACGCGTACAGACACAACGTAGCCCATTATACAGTCCACAGAGGTGTGTCAGGTGTACTATTTAACGCGTACAGACACAACGTAACCCATTATACAGTCCACAGAGGTGTGTCAGGTGCAGCAGATGGAGCGGCCTACCTCGAACTCGGCATTACAGGACAGGATTTTGAAGACACCCTGTTTCTCACTGACCTGTTTGCGGGTTCGGGTTTAAGGTTTGGAAATATGAGACATGGGTTTTCACAAGGCGTCGATATGGAAGACAAAGAAGTGGGTATGGCTCTCTATTGGAGAAAATTGCATATATAATGAACATATATGTATACCTTGATTTCTATATATGAAAATATATGTGTGTGTATATACCCTGATTCCTATATATGTATGTATACATATAAGTATATCTATATATATATCTTGATTACCATATATATATATATATATATAGATGTATATATGTGTGTGTATATATATACCCTGATTCCTACATATGGTTATATACATATATGTATATATATATATATATACCTTGATTCCTATATATGTATATATATATACATATATATGTGTGTGTATATACCCTGATTCCTATATATGTATATATACATATAATATATATATATATATACCTTGATCCCCATATATGTATATATATGTGTGTGTGTGTGTGTGTGTGTGTGTGTGTGTGTATACCCTGATTCCTATATTTGGTTATATACAAATATATATATATAATATACCATAATTACTAGATATATGTGCGTGTGTGTGTGTGTGTGTGTGTGTGTGTGTGTGTGTGTGTGTGTGTGTGTGTGTGTGTGTGTGTGTCTGTGTCTGTGTGTGTGTGTGTGTGTATACCCTGATTCCTATATATGTATATATATAGATATATATATATATATATATATACTTGAGTCGGTATATTTCTCACTATGAACACATATGT